CGGACTCGGACACCGGCCAGAAATAACTGCCCAACGAGTGGAAGGTGGAAGGGGTTATCAATAATAACACCCCCCACCCTTCCCCTCACTACTTCGCGTTGGGCCGATGCGCCGCCGCTGGCCGCCGCGGCCGCTGACATGAGCCCCGCCACGGCGCGTCGCGTCGCGCTCCGTTCATCTCCACCACCCATCGCGATCTTACGGCTGGACTGGACTACACTCGACAGCACTCGCGTGTTACATATTTTAATGGCTCATGTTCCAACGTCTCATGTCCACTGTTTGAAATTTTTCAAAAACATTCAGACGTTACAGCTATTCCAGAGATCCTATCGAAGAGACAAGTAAATGTGACACTCAATGGCAGGTACAACCAATAGAACCACCATCTCACAGAAGCCACTGATGTAGAGGATATAACTCTTGGCCCATCTGCATAGTGTCCTCAAAAATTGCGTTAGCCACAGGAAAATTTTGATAAAAGAAATTACAAAGCCAAGCGTTGCAGAGAAGGATATCTGGTGGCAAATGGTTAAATGACAACAAGAGGCACAATACCGCCATCTCTTCAGGTGAACAAGAAAACTCCCTACGACAGTATTAACATGATGTGGATAGAACTTTCCAAATACATCACACATACAGATATACCCACATTCTTTAACACCTATAGTATTTACCACCTATAACAAAACCTTGGAGGACAACTCATAAAGATAAACAAATTCTGACCAGCTGTAAACAACGCAATGTACTGAACTAATCAATAAAGAGTGAAATAAATTGCCAAAATTTTGAGATTACAGAGCATGGCATCAACTGACTAAGCAGAAAACTGGATCAAAACAAATCATAAAAAGAATGGAGGGGGAAGGGGGAGGGGGAAGTGTTTACATACATAACCTAACATAACCTAATCTGCAGCTTTCTCTCACCTGTAAGCCAGCGACATGCACTGGAAGAGCTTGGAGAGCGACGTCTCAATGGACAGAGTCTGTCCTGACTCCTTGAGGGTGGCTAGGGTGCTGCTGGCGTCGCCCCCTCCGACGCCAAAACTGTCAGCCCCAAGGCCCAGCCGCTGCACTGCCAGAGGCTGGAAGTTGAGGTGGATGGACGGCGAGCGCGAGTAGGCCTGTCTGCTGCTCGGGACGTCGAGGTCCTCCGGAACGGGGACGGCCACTTCGTCCTCGTCATCCTGCTCCTCGGCCTCGAAGTGCGACACCATGAAGTGGCCCGAGTGGATGGCCTCCTTCTCCTTCACCACGGTCGTCGTCATACCCGACCCCGACACTTTCTGGTACATCATCATTTACGCCCCAGCCTCGGCTCAACTCTCGTCACTTTTAACACTTTTCGTCAGAGGCCTGCTCCCGGGCGCCACCACTGCCACTGCCACCACTGCCGCCGCTGCGACGAGACGGCGACTTGCAATACGGTCACGCACTTGTCCACGGCCACCGCCAACCCTTGTCACCATCACTACGTCGACGCGACGGGGTACGACGGGGTACACACGGAGCACAACACCACACGGCGGGTCGGATAAGTTTCGCGCGATTCCTTCCCGGCCGTAAGGTGGCCCGGTCTGAGCGGCTCAAGATGAGACTCTGGGCGTCGGGCCTAGCGTCGATAGGCCCTCGCCTCCTGTCCGCGGGAGGTTGTGGTCAATGCTGACGTTGTGCCCCTGCTTGCTACTTGCCGCCGCAAGCCCACAAGGACAAGTGCTTGCAGTAACAAGCCCAACAACCCCCCCTCTTCCTTCCCACTCAACCCCATCCCCTGCCCCTCATTGCCCCCTTCACCCGCCACTACAAACGGCTGTCTGCGAGGCTATATAGCAGTGGTTTGAAAAATTGCCATATGCCGCTCGTCGTACACATTGGGAAGGAAAGCGGGACTGAGGACCTACAGTCTTCTTAGAGTTGCGATATCGGGGAATATTTTCAGTGTGATCGTAGTCTTTAGAACAGCACTGAGTCTTGATTGACAAACAAGAAAAGAACGGACTTGCCAAATTTGATATTTATTGAAGTTGCTTGACGTTGCTGCGTATTTTTCGTAACAGGTCTGACCTAGTCTCGTCCTGGATAAGCAACAAAAGCGAAGCGATTTATTTTACTCGCGAATGACGCTTAAGGGGCTGAGGGTCAAAAACATAAACAAAGGCTTCGAAATTTGAAGTGTCATTAATCCGATTGCCTCTTTTCAGGGACCATCACCAGTCATTTTGGCATCATGTCAGCGAATTCTACAGCAACCTCTGATCAGGTAAACGAAATTTACGGAACAAGTATATTTTTAGGAACCATTACTAGGTATTAGATCCTTAGGGTATTGATGTGTTCATTTTCTTACCCCTGAAATACATTGCATCAAAATTTACTAAAGCTTCCTATATAGCTGTCTGTGTCAAACATTTTTGATTTAAATATTGGAGAGCTTTGGCGTCCAATTCCTACATTTGACTCTTTTTTTTCCGCTGAAAGTTAATGAAATTCTTACTGGATTGGATTCTGAACTGTCTTTCATTCTTTTATTAAGTTATCTTCACTGTCCAATTATTTTTAATGTATCTAAGGTGAAGCAGTTGAAACGTCGTCTGGAGTTGTGGCGAGAAGCTGTCTTGCCTGTGTACGCTGTCCTCACTTGGGAAAAGCCATGGCATCCAGGCCTTCTTGCTGGTATTTCCACAAGTTTCTTCTTGTAAGTTGTCCTTTACAATATTTTGTTCAGTTTGAAGTATTTTTTCTCATTTCATTCTTACGACCTTTGTAGGCTGTTTTGGTACCTAGACCCAAGTGTTCTGACAACTTTGGCATTCATGGGATTGGTGGTGAATGTTTTTGACTATGCCATTCATCTGTTTGGCTCATATGCAAGACACCCTGATCAAGGTGACAAGTGGACTGGGAAGGATGAAAAGAAATTGGAGGAAGTCTGTCAAAGTGTTGTGTCCACTCAGGTTTTTGTTTTATCATCAGTATCCAAATTCTTTCAAATGCGGAACACCAGAACGAAAACTGTAAGTTCTTAATCAAGTTCATATGATTTTCAAAGAGTAAAGTTTAAAAATTAATCGCATAAGTGTGGTTTTAACTTGACAGTACTATGCTGTGACCATCTTATCCTTGACTATTTTGGCGTTCGTTGGAAACATGATTAACAACCTCTTCTTGACCTATTTGGTTTGTAAGTATTGGCAATTAATTAATAGGTAGTTAATATTTTGAACTTTCCATTTTTATATGAGTTTAGTGTCTTATAAACATTATTTTGCAGTTACCTTTGCTCTACTCCTTCCTGGTATGAAACATCAAGGTCTCCTCCAGCAGTGGAAATCAACAATTATGGGAGCCATGGGGAACACAAAGGGTGTTGTGAAAAAGTCAGACTAAGACATTTTTTAACAAAAGTTTTGAGTAAATCTATGACAGATGTTGTTCAAGCTAAACATTTCTCCAAGTAGTATCAATAACAAAATGAAAAAAACATTGCCCTTATATTTGATTAATGTGTGTTGTATTCTTTTTGTTCTGTTCACCTTTTCTCAGTTTCCACTTCCATATTTCATATCAGTTTGTGGTTTACTGTATGGATTTATCAAACTTGTAGAACATATGTAGAATATATGCTAGAATTTGGTCAGTTAGATTGCTGCTGTCTGCCATGTTTTTACTGTTTAGTAAAACTTTGATTATGTTCAGTAAAGAACTTAAAATTAATGTAGGTCTTTTGTCATTTGTGTCTCTTACGAAATTTCATCTATCAATTTTAAGAACAATCTCTTTGTTTAGTTTTACTGCAATTATTATTTGGTTTTGACTCATTTTACTCTGTACTTGAGCTGCTAGTCACTAATACTAAGTGTTGGTGATTGTGTGTAGGTTGTGATGATTATAATACTGTTGCTGTTTTTTACAGGACACTGTTGTTTTCAAAATAAATGATCTCAATCTTGTGTTTTATATGTGTGCTAGCATTTAAATTTTAAATTTTACGTGTTTAGAAGTAGAGTCACTGAATTTGATTTGTATTAAAGGCATAATTTTTCTAGGAGCAGGGCTAGATTTTCTTACTTTTTAACTCCCTATTTAAGGTTACTGCAGGAAATAGGTACCTAATTTTATTAGAATATGAGAATCCTGTATTTGTGTGTCCCAAAATTATTACAATTTTAGTAATAACTAAGTTAGTTGTCTTCTAAACTGTGTACCTAATTTGTATGTATAAAGCAGAATGGAAACATGGACTCAACAGCATCTATATGCAACAACAGCACTTACAGACCAGTTCAGATCTGAAACTGGTGCTGAACATTTTGTTGCTTGAACTAGTATTCTAAAATGCAACAAACTGCTTAGAGCTTCAGCCTCTGTTGCCTTGACGTTGAGTCCCTGATTCCCCAAGTATAATATTTATTAATGTTGATGTTTCTCAAATGTTAGATTTTTACCAAAGCGCAGTGGAAGACTAAAAGTTTGATAATTTAGCTTAGAATCTCATGCGTGTCTTCTGCATTCCTTGTGTCTACCTATCATTTCACATGGTAGATGTACCAAGTTAAAACTGTGCACAAATCTGCCTTTCAGAGAATGCATGTAAAATTATTTGTTTCATTATTTTCCTTAGCTTCTTGTCTTCTTTGTAGTTCAACACTTCTCCCTAAAATTATTGTAAACTAATAAACAAAGCGAATGAGATAATCTCTTCTAATAACATGCTTTTATTCTTTCATAAATTATTTAATAAATAACAATTCAGTATGGTCACTTGCAAAGTAAACAAAAGCAATACAATCTGTTTGTTAGGCGATAGGTTACCATACAAATCAGAAATAATAGTAAAGTTCAACTTTGGAAACATCCAAATCTTGGAGGGAAAAACTACTGCTTCAACCATGTGTTTAATAGTGTGCAATGGCAATGTAACTTCACAAATTTAATCCACATGATGTATGATTGTGACCCATGATTTATGAATCTCAAGTCAACCAGATTTGAGGAATTAATTAATTATATACATGACTTGATAACAAAAACAACAAAGCTGGAATACAAACTTACTCTTCACCATTTTAGGTACTTCAAAAGCAATGGTGTTCCATGCCAAACTTCTTAAAAACATCTCAAATGTTGGGACTTGCTATACTACAGACCACACAAAACATAAGCTAATGGAACAACGAAGTATTCTGGGAACATAGCAGTAGACTATGAAGGGGCAATAATTAACAACCCCAAATTTATAACATTCTTACAGTTAACATTACTGATTTCTTAGCTTTCATGCAAAGCAAGACTGTGCTTTGTACTTACTACAAACTTGAGATAACTCTTTTCGTTTTAAGGGATCAAGTTATTATTTTTAAGCATTTATGTAAGTGATACATACATGTGGTCTTTTAGTGAAGCTTTATGTGCAAATAACATGAAAGTCATAGAATGACAAGAATTTCAGCTACAGTATATAGATAAATGTCGTCCGTAACAAGAGGAAAAAGACATCACACAAGGAAGTGTTTAAAGAAAGAGATTAAGGATCTAAATATTAATGATAAGCTACTCTTTCTCCAGGCGAGTCATATTGTTTATTTTTTAGATAGGCAGACGATTATAGAAAGGGGCTTTAGCAGAAACTCGACACGTTTTGTCCCTGGTGACCACAAAGTGGCCACATTTGCTGTACTTTTCGACCCATACAACCCGTCTCAATCTCCAACACAGAACATGTTAGAGACACAGAACAGGAATTGAGGACAAAAATCACCTTATGAGGTAATCTTTTTAAGTATGGTCCTCAGCCAGCTCAGTTACACAAAATAGGAGGTACCCTTTTTGCTGTTGTAATCAGTATAATATCAAAGAAGTTTTAATGTTTGATAGAAATATTTCAATTTCTTCACATGGATATTGAGATCCAGACCAGGCGAGAGGAATGCAATAAGATTTTAAATCAAAGTACCTAACTAATGACAACAAGAAAAATAGTGTACAAGGATATGTATGAATCCATGTGAATCCCTACTTCCTGCATCAGTTACACCAATGGCACATTTCAAACTTGCTGCTTCATTTTTTTCTACCTTTTAAACTTGTGATACAATGAAGTATGTTCTTTGGAATGATTTGTAATCATTAATTGACAAAATGCCTCTGTAAAAAGAAAGACCATTACTGTTTCAGAGACCTCAGCAAAAGTGAGAAAAGCTACAAAATTGACAATTACCAATGCTGCTAAACACTAAAAGCCTCCTTCAATCACTTAAAATAATTGGCATGCTCCCGCAGCCAAATCAACAATAAACACAAAATTCATACAACATTTAATTTAAGGTTTCTATTGGACAATGACCTGTCATAAATACTGTGAGCTACTTCCCCTTAGAGATGTTGGAGTAAAAGGGGCTCTAACCAGTAAAGGTAAAGTAAGCCATAACAGATACAAACAAATTTATATAACTTGAAAAAAATGGGGCTAGAAGGGTAAGAACAAAACATATATTTGTCCTTTTTCTAGCGTTCAAAGGCTAGCAAGCCAAATAAAATACATCAAATATCACAAATGAATGAGATAAATCTACAACTCATAACATTAAAAAGTAACTTTGAAATAATTCCCTATAACTAGATAAGCATGGAACCAATAGTAAGAATGTCATAATACACCTACACTTAGTTTGAGAAAGAGTGCATTAAGAGTACGTGGCTTCAATATGAAACCAAACTAGGACCTGTAAAGGTGACGAGATAGATCATATAATTTTACTAATACAAATTCAAATTAAAAATTGAAATAATTGATCAAACTTTTGAAAAATTCGTTTGTTTACATAATCAATTAGAAAATAGCAGTAGAGAGACAAACAAGAATAGGTATCAGCACCAGACTACCAGACTCCTATGCAGAGCACCATAAAGCAATCTCTACTTGGAAAGGTGTCCTCAAACCATCCAGTATTGTCCATGAGATCCAGTTGCAAACTCCAGCAACACATGAAATTTGCTAATAAAAATATTTTTCAAGACAATCAACTTTCTATTCCATTTCTCACCCTACCCTACCAATCTAACACAAAAGCCACAAACAAAAACTTAAAAAAACATATAATTACTTACAGTCAATAATACCCAAATAATATAAAGGTTTAAAAATTAAAAAAACGGTGTAAGTCCATTAGTGACTTAATTCCTTACATTTACTTTAAGTTCAGATATTGCACTTCATGCACGCTAGGTCAAGCACTTTATTGATTTAAGTTAAGGAATGTGTATGTTCCATTTACTATGAACAAAAATTGTTATACAAAATCAATTGATTGTTTTAGTACTGCACAACCTAAGATGCAACATCAAAAGCTTTAGGCTTGACTAGCTCAGGTAGAAGTTTTTCATCCTGAAATAAATCCTGCGACAGTCTACAAACAAGATTAGATCAAATTACAACAATTTGAGCAGCAGCTGAAAATACTGCACATTTTTGTATGCTTCCTGTTATCCTCTGCCTAGTGTAAAGAAGATCCTGTATCAAGACCACCTTCTTCTTCAAGTTTTGTAAGGAACTTGATGACTCGATACTGCTGTTCTGTCTGGCGAGCCATATCAAGCAGGGCCAGTAGTTTCTTGATGCCAATAAACAATCTACAAAAAAATAAATTCACCAATCAAAAAGAGCAAATGATACACAAGAATTGGTCTGTGAACTTAATTAGATGGGAATACTTACTTTTGTCCCTGAAGCTTGCGGGCAATATCTTGAATTTCTCTCTTGCTGAAAACATCAGACTCCTCCAAAACCGCTATCAAGTGTTCAGGCTTAGTGAGGCTATGAACATGAAGGACAGCTGTGAAGCAAGACAGCATCTCCATGTCTTTCAAGACTTCCCTGAAAATACAACAAAACACAAATATGATACAATTGTCTAAGATGTAAGAATTGTCTAAAAATAAAAAAAAGTTAACATTTTGAGTAGGGAAAACACATACTTGCGACTTGTGGTGCATAACACAAGCAGTTTTCTGCCACGTGGAGGCTCTTTTTTGAGTAAAACAAGAAGTGCTTGCAGAGTAAGGTTGGAGTAGCGGGGCCCAATGGAGCCATAATCGAGGAGGCGTTCAATATTATCCACCAGGACACAGCTCAACACTGAGCGATAAGCATCATCGAAGTACTGTGATAAAGAAATGATAAAAAGTTAAGAAAATGTGACTTTTGCCACTTACATCAAAATCTTCAAAATACTGTGGGGTACTAACTTTGCGAATTTGGAGACATTTTGATGATTCTGTAAATCCAACCATTTCTTCGGGAGAACAAACTTTGACAAAAGGGAAATCAGAGTTCTTGGCTAATTGTGCAGCAAGAGCAGTTTTACCGGAGTTCGGAGGACCTGATAGAGAAATAATTTATTAGCACACAAAATCAAAAATTAACATTTGATTTTAATGATATCCAACTTATTTGAGCTGTCAGATTACCTTCAAGCAACACAGATACAAGGCCGGAGGACTCTGTAGAACGAGCTTGATTAATGAGAAGCATACCATCTTCAAGTAAACCACTAACTGGTGTTCCCCAAGTTATAATGCCTCTAGCAAGGTAATGGTCAAGGGCCTCAGCACTTGATCCAAATGCCTGTAATAATATTTCAATTATAATATTTATTTTATGAGCAGATAATATTATAGTGATAAAGCACAAAGCACACTTACAGGCTTGACATCATGCTCAAGAGCATGTAAGAAATCTCCACGATTAACAAGAAGCTTTTCCATCGCCTCTGGATCAACTTCTACTTTGCTTGCAGCTTTAATGAGCCTATTCATCGCAGTAGACTGCGCAGCACGAACCAAACCCTCGAGCTCAGCACCACTGAAGTTCTTAGTGAGTGTAGCCAATTCCTGCAATGTTAAAAACATATGATAGTTCCCGTTGATAAACTACAAAATAAACAAACAAACAAAAATGTTAGAAGTCTATGTTTAAGAAGCTGCCTCTCTTGTCGATACATACTTTCAAATCTACATCTCCAGCAATTTTCTTGTACTCCTTCATTCTTACTGTATGAATATTCAAAATCTGGTTGCGTCCATTTTCATTTGGTAGGCCAATCTCCATTTGAACCTCAAGACGACCAGGCCGTAAAAGAGCCTCATCAATCATGTCCCGTCGATTAGTCATGCCAATCACAAGAATGTTGTTCAATTGCTCCACACCATCAATTTTAGCCAAGAGTTGATTGACAACAGTGTCATGAACACCTGTGTTACCAGCAACCGATCCTCGAGCTTTACAGATTGCATCGATTTCATCAAAGATGATAATATGTAGGCCACTGTTTGGACCCAATCGTTTTTCTTCTTCTTCGGCATCCGCAAACAAGCGACGAACATTAGCCTCAGACTCTCCCACATATTTGTCAAGAATTTGGGGACCATTCACGATTTTGGGTTCCCTTGCATTGAGCATTTTTCCAATTTGACGAGCCATCAGAGTTTTACCAGTTCCGGGAGGTCCATACAAAAGGATGCCTTTTACATGCTTACAGCCAAGCTGTTCAACAACTTCAGGGGGAAACACACGGGACGCAAAGGCTCTCCTGAAGATAGCATTGAACTCCGTATCCAAACCACCAATACCCATTCTCTGGAAATCCCAATCTGGATTTATGATGGATTGACGAACAACTTTCCTAAAAGAATGATAGCAAAAACAGTATATTTAAAAAACTGAGAAGAAAACTAGTTAGATATATAAATGGGAAGTATTTTTAATTACCCTTTAGCAGTTCCAACCAGATTGACTGAAGAGCCTTCAGCTTTTTCAAACTGGATTGCAGTATCAGCCAGAAGTCTCCCCATTCGAGTGGGACATGGTTGGGCATTTTGACCAGTTTTAATTGCATTTAAGTCAGCAGCTGAAAATAAAGTTACAAAGAACTATGAGCATTAATGTCTTCTTTAATAAAAAATTAGAGTGGAACAATGAAAAGAAATACCTTCTAAGCTCTTCACAACAACGGATAAAAGCTTTTTTCCTCCAGCAAAATTGAATGCCAACTGTTGACTAACAGTGAATGCTTGACCAGTAAACTGCGATAAAAAGTCCTTTGCCATCTGATTAGAATCAATGGGGTCAGTGTTTGCTCTGAAACGTAAGTATAAAGCAAATTTAAATATGTCATAATTTAGTTACCATATACCACCAACAATAAACTAATAAACCTTTCAGCAACTCACGATTTTTTTTGAAGAAAATCAACTTCTAGCACAGCACTGCTGAGACACTGGAAGCTGGATGTAGAGTTGAAGTAGTAGGGGCGGACAGTAATATCCTGCCCAAGCGACAAACTAGCCCACTTTCGCTGAGGCAAACTAAACCCAATGGTACCAGGCTGCACCTCATAATGTGACTTGATTGTAAAGACAAAATGCTGTGAGGGTCCAGTTGACACCTCAATGTGCCTGTAAATAATCAATTAAAATTTATCAGGTAATATTAGAAGTAATAAAGTGCTCCCCCATTGTGGTCTTTGCTCATGGTCTACATAATTTATAAGTGACTCATAATTTACAAGTGACTCATAATTTACAAGTGACTCATAAGGTAAATTTAAAGGTGTTCCTTTCAGATATGTGCAGTAAGCATAATGCAAAGGTATTATAAAGCAAACATTATTTGATAACTATAATATTTACTCACTTAACGTCATCTGGGAAATCACTTTGACTGGTGACGGCACAGTTGGAAAAGGACAATTCATCAGTTGGACATTTTCCTGCTTTCATTCGCTGGAAAAATAGATTCAATTAGATGTCAATGAAAGATTTGTGATAAGAATGGACTAATAAACAATGGACATCAAGAAAAACAAAAGATTTAGAAGATGAATGAAACAAAGCCAGGCATTAAGACGTACACAGGTTAGGAAAATGAAAATACAATGAAAGTAATACTAAAAAAAAATCGTACAGTACATTACATAAGCAAAGGATTCATGTCAGTCGGAGAGACAAATATAAACTTCTAACAATCAAATATCATAGTTTATGAAACAATTAAACTTGGTGATGGGTAGTGTCAGAGTGGAGGAAACATAGTTGCGAAGTATCGTTGAGTGGATTCAGGGTTGAACAACAAAACATCGAGTACATTTAATTCGAACTTTTGTTAACAGTCTTTCTTACCAATTGAGCCATGGTTGGGCCGTTTACGGGAAGGAACTCTTTTTCAACAAGTATTGACTTTCTGCTCTTCTGCTCTGTTGTCTACGACGTACTGCAACCCGCAATGCATGCATAGGAGGTCACGGGGCTCCGTTCCTAAAGATACCTGATACCACCACCTTTTGACAGGGTTTGTTAATGTTGAAAAAAGGGAAAGAAGTTTTCAACTCGAAAAAACAAAGAAATTATTTAAAAATCTGTCTTGATTTAGTTTGGATAGAAAATGAGAGGTGTGTTCTTTTCTTTTTTGAAAATTTTGAATTGTAGTTGGATGCAGTTAGGAACAGGCCCAAACTTCTGTTTATCTGTCAAAATAGCAGAAGCAATGTGAGGTGAGTGAATTTTTAAAGTTTTACTCTCTACTATGTTTATTTCAATTGCTCGTTAGTAGACGGTTAAAAACTTGATCCTAAAATAATCTGTTTGTGTCAGAGGAGAGGACTTAAGTGTTTGTTTGCAAGTTAGGATCAAACTGACTGCATGAATACTTCAGCCCCTTCAGCACAGCATTAATATTTTTTTGTCGAAACAGAACTCCAAGTTGAATAAAGTCCAAAACTACATTCACAGATGTTTCATTTTCAGGGAAATTCAAAAGTAAGAGCCATGTGTGCTCTGTTAAGTCTGTTAGAAGAAGGACACATATCGGATTTAAAGGAATTCCTCACTCAAAATGACGTTGACGTAAACAGTGCCAACAAAGTAAGAAAGAACTTTTTCAGTAACCAATTAAGTTTGATTTGCAGATTACAAATATGAAAACCTTCCCGATTTGGTGGCATAATGGCATTGTGTGGCGCAGAACCATAGCATGCAGGATTTTCCATATGTTTCGGTTAATATAAATAGTATTACATAAATACTATTGTACAGTATTACTGTACTGCATAAACTGCATCAAAAATAGCACTGAATTGCGGACATTAAGTATACTTTTGAGGCTGAAGGCTTCTGCTTTTCATGGTTCTGCACTACACCCTGCTACCGCGCCACCAAATGGCGTAAGGTATTCTTCGGAATTTACTATTGAAACTTGTTGATTGTGTGACTTTGCAGCGTGGTGATGGGGCAGTCCATATTGTTGTTCGTCTTGGGGATCACAATGCATTGAAGCTTTTAATTGATCATGGTGCTGATGTCAATCTGTCAAATAGTTTAGGTGACACTCCTGCTATTTTAGCAGCAAGACATGGCGACCGGGAAAGTTTATGTATCCTCATTGATGCAGGAGCGGACTTATCACATGGAAACAAGGTAATTTTTTGTTTCACCTATTCGGAGCCTTCATCACCTTACAACACATAGCAACATTTAACTTCTTTTTTTTTTTCCATTCAATTCAATGCATTGTTGGTATATTACAGGAAGGAGAAACATGTCTGCATACCGCTTGCAATTTGGGTGATGCATCGCTCACTTCTTTTATATGCTCACACCCAAATATAAATATTGATCAACAAGATCTAGTAAGCTTTTTACACTCTGTACCTTCAAACCTATTTAATAGGGCTTTTGAATACCTGTACAGCATAGCACTCAAATTGCAGGATGGCAACAGTGCCCTTCACATTGCTTGTATTCAAGGCCATCTGGATTGTGCTAAAAGCCTCATTGCTACTGGAGCCACTCTCGATCTACCGAATTCAGTTTGTGCCACACCACTGCACTTGGCTCTTTCCTCAAAGCACTCTCACGTTGCCATGTATCTTCTTCATGCTGGTGCAGATAGTGATGTTCAAGATTGGGTAGGTGCAGGAGTTATGCAAAAGAGCAAAGTAAAGAGTACAGTTGTGAAAAAAACAACAACAAAAACACTGGTGATAGCTTGGATGTGTAAGGTAAACAATGCTTCTTCACTTTAGGATGGTGATGCTCCTATCCATTTTGCTGCTCGCCAAGGACTTCTTGCTGCCATACAAACTCTGTGTGCTTTTGGATGTAATGTGGATGTAGCGAACAAACAGGGTCTTACACCTCTACATCTAGCGTCACTTCATGGACATATTGAAGTGATAAGGTATTAGACTTTTGTTTGATTTTACTTAAAATTATTTCCTCATAAAATTTCTTTCTTAGTCAAAATATATATGTATTTGCTTTTCTTTGCTTAAGGTCTTTGTGTCTTGCTGGTTGTAACACTGAAGTTAGAAATGGTGATGGCATTAAAGCGGAAATAACTGCTCTCAAACATGGACATAATGGGATTGCAGACTTACTCAGTAGACTAAAAAATGTAAGAGAGTAAATTTTTGAAAGTGTGTAAATTCTACTGCAGTCATTCAAAATTGTGTTGTTTACTTTTTCTCCCTTTTCTCTATAGAGTGTGCTCCGGGAACAGTTTACAAATCAACTTGTCCCAACATCCCAGCCAATATCACGAGTAAATTTAAAGTTCTTAGGTCATTCAGGAGTCGGCAAGACAACTTTAATACAGTCTTTACAATCAGGATACTTCTCAAATTTGTTCAAGAGAAGTAAAGCAAATTTGCCGGTAGCCAACTGCATCCTTAAAGGTTTGTTTCTGAGATATTTAGGTAACACTGAAAAGCTACGTATCAATTTTACCCCTTAGTTAAATAGAAATAATTAGTTTTGGGGTCCTTTGAGGTGTACTGCCTTCTTTGTCGTTACATTTTTCTTCTATGTGTGTCTCTTAAATGTGGGTAATTCTTTCAAGTAAATTTTAAGGCTACATACTTGGTTTAGCAATTTTGAAGTTCATAATCCCCATAATGGTAGTGTCCTAGGCCGTTACAGGTACCATAACGTATCTAGTTGCCTCTGTCTTTTTTATTTAGATTTTAATTTGTGAAGGTTGGATGAGTCAACATAAAAGTATTTTCAGGAATTGCATCATCTCCTACCAACACTCACATTGAAATGGACATCACACCACGAAGTAATTCATTGACGTTTGATACATTCAGCTACCAGTACACTCGGGGTATATCTGTCAAGCAGGTAAACTCACAATAACACTAGATTTTGTCTGTGTAGTCTTGGTGAAATAGCACCATTTTTTATTTTTTTTATTCGTGATCAAACAATCTAGGCTAATTGAGGTATGCTTTCAGTGTTTTAATTTGGATGCAGATCATATTTTTAGATGCTTTTTTAGTAAGTCTTTCCCTCAATATATTTTCATGTAGTTAATGTGATACTGCTGACATAGAAAAATTTACATCCTGTCACTGCTTTTGGTTTGGTTTGATGTTTTTAGGCTCTGTTCAGCTCTAGGTGAGCAATATGAAAATCTGTGAGGAAGTATAGTAAATAATTGCACAGAAGCTTAATGTATAGATTAAAAAAGGTACTTTGCTGTTTGAACCCTTTCTATTTGACCATGTTGTGCTTTCTAGCTAAAGAATATGCTTTTAAACTAACTGCCTTTTCTTTTGTTTCCTCTTGTTTTTAGGTTTCAATGACAGGAGTAGGTGATCTTGCACTCTGGGATTTCTCTGGACAGGACACATATTTCCTTGTGCATCACCATTTTTTAGGGTGCACACGAAGTATTTATGCCCTTGTAATTAGCTTGCAGGATTCTCCTGCTGTCCAGTTTCAGCAAGCTAGTTTCTGGTTGAGCTTTCTTCAAGCTCGTATTCGCCCCTCTCAAAGTATAGGTATGTCCAATTAAATTAAAATAAAGAACTTTTTTCCTTAAATTTTGATCAAATAAAAATATTTTTTTGCCATTTTCTGGTTTATACAGGTTATTGTGGTCGCATCAGCAATCCTCTTCAGGTTGTTGTAATAGCTACTCATCCTGATGCTGTGCGACTACCAAGAGATTCTAATGGGGACTACTTCACATCAGGAGTTGAAGACCTCATGTTACAGCTCCAACAACAATTTCAAACAACATTTCGAATACACTCCGAGCCTTTCATTGTAGACGCAAGAGCTCCAGGGACAAATGTGATGCGTTGTCTTCGTCAGCAATTAACTGAAATGAAGCAGAATGTCATTCACGTAAGAACCTTTTTCCTTTTCTGTTCTTTCATTAGAATTAAAATTATAGAGCAGTAGTTTTGTATATGTTTCATGTACATACTTTCTGTCTATGTCATTTAATGAAATTGCATCTTCATGACCCAAGTCAGTAGTGCACATACTATTGGAAATTGCAATACTGCAGCAATATTCTGAGTTTGCTGATGACAAATTTGAGATGGGTGGACGTTATTTTGGTGGTGATTTTTCCCTTGTCCTCTATATTAATTTTATGTCACTATATTTACCTATTGCCTGTTCTTTCTGTGTTGAAGGAATCACTCAAACTTTTCTGCTGACTGACCAGAATTTGTGTGATGATGCCTTTTTTTTTTTATCAATTCATGTTTGATTTTTTCCCTTGGGATACTACAGCAGGACAAGAGTCAACAGCTTGTAGGCATCGACAACATCAACTACAAGGAGTATTCCCTTCTACCATCATTCCCTGTTTCTGTGGTACCTGCAATTCATTTACCTCGAATTTTTCCCACTGGCTATGAGGTGTGTTTCTCTTAAACTACTTGTTGAGTAGTCTTGTGCAGTACTGTTTTGTTTGTAATCTTTTGAACCATTCTTTTTGAATGGCCTGTATGATTCCCAGTGTGTGTAAATGTGACTGTTAAGTGACCACTCAGTTGTTGTTTTCTTGGACTCTACCAAACACTCATATAGTTGGTGATTATGTTTTAGTTAAACACTGGTAATGCACTGGATACTTTAGACTGTATGATCATAAATGTTGATATTGCTTCCAGTTTTTGGTAAGCCTGTGTTTATTGCACCCAAAATATTCAAATGTATGCAACTAGCTACAATCAGTTTGAAAAATATACTTGTAGTCCCAAAGCATATAACGCTTGATATGTTGTCTTTTGCCGTGATGATATAGTTGTAGTTTGGAGACAATGTTGGTCCACAAATGAGAGCAGCCAAAAATAATTAAAATATATTGGCTGTTCTTATTATTTGGGTGACCTGTTTGTCTGGTAGAGGTAAAATCAACGTTGAATGAATTACACAGGTTTGCTGCTGCTTCTCGTATCTTTCACCCTGGTGTTTTTGTATGTCTCTTCTGAAATAATTTCAACTTATTTCCAGATTGGTTTACCATGGTCAACTAGCATTTTTCCTGCTTACGTGTTTTGTAGAAGTAGGAGTAAATTTCCAGTAAAACAACCAAGAATACTGTTGTATATTTGATTATTGGCAAACTAAAGCACTTGCAGCTGCCTCTCCCACAAGCTAGTAGAACCAGGACAATTAATTTATGTTGGACCATTGTTTTCTGCCTGACATATGTGATCAGCAATGCAAAGTAGTCCTAGATTTTCAGAATGGCCCACTCAGTCAGTTATTTTATCATTTCATTATAGTGTGTATTATTTCACAAATTGTTCCACTTTTTTGTCAATAGTAAATGTGCATTTTTCAGTTGATAAATCATATCCTCCCCCTTCCCCTTTAAAATGTAATGAAAAATAGGTTAATTCACAATCCTCAACATTTTTTTTTCTATGTTTCTTGTTTACAGGGTATTCCAAAATGTTCAGGTTTCCTGGAAGGAGTCTTTGCTTGGCTGCCAAATGCTGTTCATCAGTATGAGCATTTTCCTGTGATGGATTGGGAAATGTTTCTCCAGGCAGTTCGCTCTAATGTCAACCCCCTGGCAGGAGAGGAACACATCAAAGATATTTGTTCACAGCTTCAAACCATGGGAGAAGTAAGTGCAGTCATTGTGCCAGTATAATGCTTGTTAATTTTACTTCAGTAATATATTTACAGTAACATTTTTTTCTAGGTACATATTCTCCACTGGCAACCTCAAGATGTTGTTGTGCTTTCTCCTCAATGGCTTTGTGAAAATATCATTGGGAAGTTACTGTCAATTGAATTTATTACTTTGGCACGGGTGACTGGGTGTTATACTGTGGATGATTTTCAGGCAGCATTTACAGAATGTGATGCCTCAAAACTGCTTGTTTTGTTGGAACAGCTTCAGTTGTGTACACATGTGGGTCCCAATCTTTTTTTTAAAAAAAATGATATCTGTATACCTTAAGAGATGGTTCTCAACCTCCCTATTTACATATTGCTTCTTTCTTTTCCCTAGTGTGAGAATGATGGTGAACTGGAGTATGAATTTCCATGCTACAATATGGTGGAAACTATTGAAGGCTTATGGGATTCACAAGATGTTCGATATGGAGATTGTGCCAGTTACATAGGCTTGCGGCTGAAATCCTCTCCAGGGACTACTCATTTATTGCATTCAGTTTTTCCCAGAATCCAGGCAAGTAAACTTATTCTTGTTGTGTTAGAATTTCCCATAGTTCTAGGTACTTCTATTGCCTTTGATTTACCTTATAATTTCACAAATATTTTTTTCCCTTTGGATGTGGTCAACAGGTACAGCTACGGCTGGCAACAAAACGATATGCTGATCCTGAATGCGATTTATATCAATGGTTTCGTGGCTCTAAACTGTGTGCTGGAATTTTGGAGAGTATGGTTACTTTGGAAACAGACTCAATATGTGGGGAGTGTATTGAAATCAAAGTACGGGGACCAGAGGGAACTGGTATGGCATGTTTTTACTTCATTGAAGAATTACTTGGCATTGTGCAAGTGGTAAGTTTTATTCCTTTTATGACATTGCCCTAAATTTGAAAAAAAAAATAGTAACTTATGTTTTGCAAAGGTCTTGTCTGAGGTCTGTCCTAGTCTACAATTGGAGAGGTATGTTCTCAGTGAGAGGCAATTGAAGAATCATGCTACTCCGTATTGTTTTTCACCAACTGAGCTTGCTACTGCACTCTTGGATTGTGATTTGAGTGTGTGTCTCCATAATCCCTGGCTAGAAGCATGTGAATCAAGTTCTACAGCTGATGAATCTCTTCTCAACCTGATTGCCTGTGGAACACCAGAGGTCAGAAAGTAAAAGATTAAGAATAAGATTTGTGCAATGTAAATAGTTATTCTTTGAGGCTTTATAGACTTTTGTATAATTTATGAAAACTTTTGTTCAGGTGGCAGATGTAATGGTGCTGTGGCCTACTCTCCCTGTTCGAGAAATAAGTATAGGGTGTCGCCGAGCTCTAAGTGCTCTTATGGATCCACCTGACCCATTGGGGAAAGACTGGTGTCTTTTGGCTGTGCAGCTTGGTTTGACTGAAAGTGTGGCACATCTGGATGCTGCAGTTCATCCATCTCATCCAACTCAAAGCCCCTCTCTCAGTCAAACTAATGCTTTACTAGAACGGTGGGCTCAAACAGAAGATAATGATGCCACCTTAGGTAAGCTTGCTCGAGCTTTAATTTCTTTGGGACGTGAAGATGCTGTAGACCTTTTGCTAAGGTCGGTTCCTCTCTACCAACTGATTGACACAGAGGAAGAAGAAGAAGAAGGAGGAGAAGGAGGAAAGGAATGTGTGGAATCAAGTAAGACAGCAACGTCACCTACAAATGGTGGAAGAACAAATCTTTCACGTTGAATCAAAACTTGTTGCTGCAGCAATTAATCTCCTATAACTAAAAATACAAACAAAACAACTTTTCTCTGTTAATTTTGTTTTATATATCATCATTGTTTTTACTGATTACAATTTACACTTTGGTCAAGTTTGTATGTGTTACTGTTAAAGCCTGTTATAGTGTGGTTTAAAAAAAATAATTTCTGTACCACTTTTCTCTTGTTAAAAACCTATTACGTGTTGGAGGATATATTTTAAGCAATTTTATACGATCTGTCCAGCTACATTTTTGAATTAAAGCAGATAAAGAAGGTGATATTAAAAGTTGAGAGAATTCCACAAACTGCTCAGGAAAATCACCAATATATCACTATATTTTTCTGTGATAGAAACATTTCTGAAACATTTTTTTCTGCTAAGCAAAGCGGGAAGAGAAAACTGATTTAGTAAATTCTCTCTTCATGCGACCTGAAAGATAATAATTATTTGCAGCATGAATGATTAGTCTTATTCGTATTTAAAACATGTTAACAATTTTATAATTGTTACAAGATTTTGTAATATTTAAATAGGTTTTCTACTCAACCAGTGGCTGTTCTTTCTCTATTCAATCAAAACTTATCTGTTGAATGTCAATTCAATACTATGCACAATAATTGGTTTGTGTATACAGTAATTATAGTGAAAATCACTCTTAATGGACTGATGTACTAAGTATGCTAATTCATGATGCCACTGTACTGACTTCATTTTGTGCCCATCATAATCAGATAGATGAAAGTATTCGCTCAAGGAATGTATCTTAAGTTGTAATGTTATTATTAGGTATGTAGTTTTAATTTTACAAGATGATGGTTAGCTTATCACATCCATCATGTTCATGTTTCATGCATGTTGTGTTTTCCTCAGTTTTTCACATTTTGTGGTGTGGTCACTTATTGTTTCATGGGCTTGGAAGTCTATGACGGCTGTGGTTTTTTTAACTCTTGTACTTTGAACTTCAAACACTAAAAAAACAAAATAAAAATCCTTGATGTTTCCAACTTTTAATTACAAAAAAACAACAACATTAGAATATGTACTTAAAGTGCGGGCAGTCTTATCAGCACATTGCTATTTTGAGACTGCCAAATGGTACTAAGTTTTTTCTTTTTCTTTCTTTTTTTCTGGATTTATCATGTATATAGCATTTGCGTAAGTGTAATAATACAGCTTTCATTCCAAAAATTGCACTTGATTAAAACTAAAAAGTTTTAGAATTGAACATGTTGATTGCTATAATGATTGTTCACAATCCTTACTGATGTAGCCTGCTGCTGGAGCACCAATATTGCCAATGCCATAATATGAATAAATTCAAAATAACACTCAGAAATGTAACTTGTTTTCTTAGACACCTATTTGCACAGGGTTTTCGTTTCTCTTTCATTACAATGTGTTTAGTGGTGCTGCAGGGGCTGGAGCACTCCTTGCAAATTGCACAACCAGTGGTTTGTCCTTAAGAATGTAACCATTTGTTTCAAGAAGTGCTTGTTCAGCGAGATTTTGTGTTGGGAGTGTAATGAAAGCCTGGCCTTTCATTCTACCTTCAGTCATCAAACGCACATCAAAGCTGAAAATAAACAACCATAAATAAATAACCATCAAAATATTAAAAGAAATTGTGAAGAAAATTGTTTTTGTGGAAATAACTTTCTTACATATTAATATCCAGTCCTTCGCAATCTTGTTCCGGAACTTTTGAGTAACGACGGTAGATAAAATGTAAATCTCTAGCAGTTGCGTGCTTTGATATATTTTTAACATACAAGCGACAAGAGGGCACACCAGGAGAATAGTTTTTAAAAACAGGCAAAACCTGTAAATCTGTAGAACATGGAGAACATTAGATGAAATTGAAACCACAGACTGTAACAGTTCATAAATTTGTTTTATAGAAACAAAAACAATAACCTTTTTGTGGGACTCTGTTTGAGGCAAGTTGTTCAAGTGTGATTGTACTGCCAGTTTCTTCCAAACAGTCTGATTCTTTTGCTTGAACCTCCTCCAGACTCTCATTGGATTTAATAGGTGGGTGCATAATACCAAACCCACCTTGTTGATCAGAACAAGTTGGGATGGAACTAACAATATTTTCACTTTCTTCTTTTTCAAGGGGCAATGATCCACACAAGCGCAGCTCAATTTTTTTAGGCAGAACACAAGTTTCTGCCTTTTCAAATACTTCTTCAGCCTTCATATTGGATGATGACGAAGACATTTCACTGGGTACGGCGGGCTTGATAAAATGTGGTCGTTTTATTGGCCTAACTTGTCTTCGAGGAAGCATTCGTTTCAGTATTGAAGTATTAGGATGAGCTATGATTTGTTCTTCCTCACTTTCCATTTCAGATTCACTACTTGACTTATGTACCCATATGATTTCAGTTTGTGTTTCTTGATTACAGGTGGACTTTAGCCTTGATCCATCCTATAAAATAAAAACAAAATTTCAAAATAATTAGATGACTACAAAATTAGAGGTGCGTATTTGAGCTATGACTGTGTGAAAAGCAATCAAGCATACTTGAAAGGGTGGGGGTAAATTCATACGGTTCATTAAATGCAACAGTTGAGTATACAACCGGGGATGCATTGACAAAGCTCTGCTTATGTTAGACAGAGTTGCAGGCGTCGGAGGAGGATACTGATAGTGCAAATGGCTTGGTGGTGGTTGAGAAAGATTTAATCTACTACTCCATGAAACAAGGCGTCGCATGAATTGGTCTTGCATCCTTTGCCTGTTGTCTTCTTCTGGTCGAATGTCACCTCTGGTTGAACAATAACTAACAGTTATTCATGTTTATTATTAACTATGCACGTCTTAACATGCAAAAAATATAAGACTTACTTATCAGATGATGATACCTGTTGATCAGAAAAAGATGGAATAATACTGTGTGAATACTCTACAGTGAGATGACAGCCTAAAACCTCCATTTGATGCAAGCGTAAGAGGGCAGCTTTAGCTGCTGAAGGCGTCGGAAATCTGGACAGGTACAAGCAGAACAATAAATGACTTGTATGAGCAGCAGGACACAAACATAATATTAATGCAAATGTGATTAACATCAGCTACGTTCATTCTTGAACTTACTTTGCAAAGACAGCTTCATTGTTTTTCCCTCCAATGCAGACACTTCTAATAGAAACAGCTCCAAAATGTTGAAGGAACTCCAATTTGTCACTATCAGAAAAATCTCGGGGCATATGGCGTATGCGAAGGGTGAGATTTGAATCTCCTTTTGGAAGTGACATGGTGGTGGTATTGTTGTTAATCGTTAACCTTCGTGAACACGAGTGTACAAATAAATTGCTTTTCGATCACAGATTTTTATAGGTATTCATTTAACTACAATAAGACCTACAAGCAGCGGTGATTTTGGCGTTTCGATCCATTGAACATCAAAAATTAAATTGCATTTAAGGCATAAGAAAATCGAGCAACATTGAACACCAAGCTCCAAACTCCAAAACAAACTAACATAAACATCCAGTGGCACCAACGTCACCCATTCGTGCTGCTCAGTTGGTAGGCATGCCGCTGAGTCCAGCAGAAGCAAAAAACTTCTCAGCATTAATAGTAAAGTTGCTGAAAATTGCTCTAATCTGAATTATTGATTGAAATTTCACAGCAGCAATGTCTTCCTGTGTCAGCAAAGGTATTGTTTATGTTTAGACCAAAGTTTTGGCTCCAACCACTATCTTTATTTTTATATATATCATTTTTCAATGATCAGACAAAGGGTTATGTTATGGCATGTTATGGCACTGTTTATTTTTCAGGGGTTTTGCGAGTTATACCAACAATTATCA